TCGCGGGCTATCGAACTTCAACGAAATCCTAGCGCTCGCTGAGAAATTCGATATCCTACGCCGACCGAGACCGGGGTCCTGCCACGGACATCGCCCTCGGGGGCCGATCGAGCACGCTACCGTACACGCCGTTGCGGCGAATGCAGTTGCTGCGCCATTTAAGGGGCGCTGCTTCGCTTGCAACAGGCCGAGACATCGCAAGATCGAATGCCCTGAGGAACTAAGGTGCCGGGGAGCAGAGCAGGGGAGGGAGTCTCAGAGGCAGGGAAACTCCAGCAGTCAGTAGAAGTCGGGCCAACTACTGACGAGACAGCCTGCTCGCCCAACCTCGCCGACCCTCACCGAGTCACAGTACCGATTTATGCTGTCGATCGGGCTCGGATGAATAAGGAGGGTACAGCGACAGATTGCCCAATATTGATCTACGAGAAAATACAGGGAACAGCAGTCAAGATTTTTTTCAACGGAGGAGCAAGTCACAGCTTAGTTAACACCGCGACCGCCCGAAAACTTCAATTGACACTTAACCGCTGCTTTCCGGAGATAGACGCACGCTTAGTCGACGGCACGCCTCTGGCCATATGGGAGAAAGTGGAGAGAGTGAAACTCCGCTGCGGGGGTAACTTTGGGTTTATACTTGAAATGCTTGCGACGTCACTGGATGGGCACGACATTTTACTGGGACGTGATTGGCTGCGGCGCTACAATCCACGAATGGACTGGACGACAGGCAGCTGCACTGTGCGAAGCAGCGTTAAATGGGTCGAACTACCTCGCTGGCAGTCGCGTGAGTCTTCAACGGTCCACGTCAACGCCATCACGATGAAACGGGCTGTCGCCGCTGGAGCTGACGTGTACGCAATAGACATTGCGGTAGTGGAAGCGGCAGAGGCGCGGAGTGATTTTCAGAAACTACTTGAAGCTGTACCGCCCGAACTACAGGAACTGTTGAAATGGTACCCGGGGATTTTCCCGGATGACTTACCGGAAGGACTGCCACCTCAGCGCACATACGACCACAAGATAGAGTTAGAACCAGGGGCACAGCCAACTGTACAGCGACAGTTCAGACTGACACAACCCGACCTCGATGAACTAAGGAAGCAGTTAGATTACCTGTTAGAGAAGCAGTTCATCAGACCGAGCTCGTCACCGTTCGCCGCACCGATACTGTTCACACCGAAAAAAGACGGAGGGTTTCGCATGTGTATTGACTACCGAGCACGGAACCGAGTAACCATAAAATCACGATACCCGATTCTCCGCGCTGACGAACTGATAGATCAATTGCGAACAGCTCGAGTATTCTCGAAGAATGACCTACGAGGCGGTTACCACCAGATTCGAGTCGAACCGTCAGACTGCGCAAAGACAGCTTTTAGAACTAGATACGGATCTTTCAAGTACACCGTCATGCCCTTCGGACTGACCAACGCCCCCACCACTTTTCAGATGACCATGAACGAGGCTTTTAGACCGCTTTAAGATAAATGTGTAATAGTTTACCTCGACGACATCCTCGTTTACAGCCGCGACAAGCAGCAGCATTTAATGGACTTAGAAGCAGTGTTTAAGTTTTTAGACGAAAACCGCCTACTGACCAAGGGTTCCAAGTGTGAGTTTTTCCAAGACAGGCTAGAGTTTTTGGGGCACGTCATTTCGGAGGCTGGAGTCTAAATTAACCCGAAGAAGTTAGACACGGTAAAAGCGTGGCGACCCCCGACGAATCTCACTGAACTGCAGAGTTTTTTAGGGTTTGTTAATTACGTTCGTCGGTTCATCCCCGACATGGCGCGATTAACTGCCACGCTGACTGACCTACTGCGGAAGGGGGTAGGGTTTACATGGGGGGAGAAAGAGCATGCTGCCTTCTTTGCCCTCAAAAATGTTATTTGTACACCGCCCGTACTATGCATTGCCGACCCCCACCGCCCTTTTGAAGTCATTACGGACGCAAGCGACATCGCCATCGGAGGTGTACTGTTACAGGACTTCGGCAACGGCCTACAGCACATCGCATATGAATCCCGAAAACTGCATCCGCTCGAGAAGAAGTACCTGATACACGACCGCGAAATGCTCGCAATCATGCATGCATTCAAAGTCTGGCGCTGTTACTTGACCGACGTAGACGTGATAGTACGGGCAGACCATAAATCTCTACAGTACCTCCGCGCACAGCCCCACCTCAACCCACGACAGGTCCGCTGGCTCGATTTCCTCAAGTCGAATTTTCATTACACGGTCACCTACAAAAAAGGGGCATCGAACATCGCCGACGCACTGACCCGCCCCACTTCCCAAATCCATGCAGTACTACTTGCCCAGACCAGCCCGCTACTGACAGGACTATTTACCCATGGATATCAAACAGACCCATTCTTTGCGGGTGGAAATTCGCAGCAGTTCGCCGCAGCAAAAGGGGTTTATTACGTAAAAGCCGGCACCGACCGCATCTGGGTTCCGGGGTACACTTTACTACGGGAGCTGCTATTACAGGAGGCACACGACGGAATTACCTCGGGTCACTTCGGGGTAGAAAAGACACGGCAGCAGTTGCAGCGGTATTACTGCTGGCCAAAAATGTTGACCGACGTGCAACGACAAGTGGCATCGTGCCCCACCTGCCAAATCATGAAGTCATCACGGAAGCGGTCGGCAGGACAGTTGCAGCCGATACCACCCCTATAGCGTAGTTGGCAGCAGGTGACGATGGACTTCGTCACAGGGTTACTGGCTGGGGCAAGTGGGAACGACGCAATCCTGGTCGTCGTCGATCGACTCACGAAAATGGCACATTTTGCAGCATATAAGAAATCAATCTCGGCCGAAGAAACAACTCGGCTCTTCATCCCCATTGCCGTTCGACAGCACGGGATACCAGCAGCCATCATCAGCGATCGAGACACGAAGTTTACCAGCAACTTCTGGCGGAACCTGTGGCAGCAGTTCGGCACACGACTACAGTTTAGTTCATCGTACCACCTCGAAACCAACGGACAGATAGAACAGACAAGCCAGACCATGGAGCAACTGATCCGAGCCACGTGGGACGACCCCACCATGTGGGAACAACAATTGCCACTCATTGAGTTCGCGTACAACAATTCGCCATCCGCTACGACCCAACAGTCACCGTTTTACCTGAACCACGGACAAGACCCTACAGTACCCATGACTCTGAATCCTGACAACCCTGTACCTCGCGCACAGCAGTTAGCAGAAATTTTACAGGCAGCATGGACCCGGGCAACAGACGCAATTAAAAAAGCCAATATCATCGCTAAACGCAACGCCGACTGCCACCGCCGACCTGTTACTTACCAACCCGACGACCTAGTTTTACTCGACACCCAAAACCTCCGCCTACCCATCACCCCAAAACTTCGCCCCCGATATTGCGGACCATTTCGCATCAGCCACATGATCACACCCGTCACCGCCCACCTCCTCCTTCCCGCTGACTGGTACGTCAGCCCGTCCTTCCACGTCAGCTTACTCCGCCCCTATGTACCATCCACGAGCCACCTGCCCCGCATCCGCCCAGCAAGCATAACCCGACCACCCACCGAGCCCATCATCACACCTGAGAAGATCCTGAGTCACCGAGTTCGAGACCCACGTGGAGCTCGCATGATCGAGTTCCTGATACGCTGGAAAGACCGCACACCCACCGAAGACAATTGGGTACCCATGGACATAATCGAAAACCACCCTGTCCTCATCGAGTACCTGCGCAGCCGCAATTTCCGAGATGTACACGTACTCTCGTAAGGAGGGCCTCCTTAAGGGGGGGGGGGGGGGGTAGTGTAAGGAAATTTCCTTTTCCTTACGCCGCATCCCTGCGTAACGCGTACACTACTGTTCTCACCACACTCTGCACCGTTACCACTCGCGACCCTCGCTTCGACAATCTTCCAGCCACTTCGCACGTCGCAACCCAGCCTCCCGGCTCGGCTGGTAACCCGCGCTCCGGGCCTCCGCTTCGACACTTTCCCAACCTCAGTCCCGACCTCAGTCACAGGCCCGTCGCGCATCAACCACAGTTCGTTACCGTTACCAATGTGGCCTTCGCTATTTAGTTTTCGCTCATTCCTTCGCTCATTGTACTGTTTTGCTTCGATATTGCAATTCTCGCTCGCTCGCTCAATTGCACTCGTAACACATACAAAAGTCCTTGATTTGAGTATAGTTTTATGACCTCTGCACACTGTTAGTGCATGTAACAGTACATTAAAATCCCCGCTTTTGCTACTCATTCGGTAATATAGGGATAGCTTTATGCGTGTGGAATATGTATGCAATGCTAGTCTTGTGTTATTTACTAGGTCACAGTGAGACTTGCTATCTGACAGAGCCTTACCATATCATAAGCCTGTGATTGTTGGTTGCCGCAACAAACCTGGCATGGCTACAGCTCGCAGCTAAGTTAAATTAGGTGGAACATGGTTATAATATCACTGGTTATAATATCAAACGTGGTTAAATTAGGTGGAACATGGTTATAATATAACTGGTTATAATATCACGGTTTCTCAATGTACTGGTTATAATATCAAACGGCATGATGCGGTGGGAATGGTTGGCCATTGTGTGGTAACTATGTACTGCTGTAGACTTGTTTGTAAGGTATTGCAAGTGGTTTCTTTGCTCTGCAAAGGAGAGGCACTGCAGCGGTTGTGGTAGAAAGGGGTCTTCCTGGAAAGAAGGCAGAGGTGTGGGCAGGGTGGGATTAAGCACACAATCGCAAGTAAGAGGTCCTCTTGTGCCATGAGTCAAAGCCACTGTCTCCCCTGCATAGTGTTTCAGAGTCTAACGGGGGAAGTAAGAGATTAATGAATAGGTGTTAAGGGGATCCATGGTGTATGGTAAGAGGAAACATGCACGTGGCCTGGGCAAACCGAGTTGAAGAATGTGCCATCTGAAAAATGCATAAAGTAGAAAGCAACAGCCAATGGAACAGCCGATTCTAGTGTGTTCCTAGAGCTGGTGGAACGTCTTTAAATCAGCATCATGCCTGCAAACATGCACACTAGCGTCACAAGGGAAACGGTGGCAACATTAGCACTCTTTGGGGGCGGTGGTGGGGATGCCGCTGTAGCATTTCCACACGTCGCAGTGCTCTTAATCTTCCCAAGCGACTGGCTGAACTGGTTGGCGTCAACCACGCCAGCAGGGCAGTTTCCAGGCACAGTCATGTTATCGCAGCAAGAGGTAGACTTCGGAAGCGCCTTGGGACCACTGTAGCATTTGCCATTTGTCTGACGAAAGGGAGAGCAGAATAAGATAAGGTGCACAGGTGTTTCGAGAGCATGAGAACATTCCACACACAGATGCCTTGGAGTGATAAAGGAACTTCCGGATGTTGATGGTCACGTCATGTTGCAAACTTCGAGATTGTATGCGTGCAATTTAATTGAAACAGATACACCAGCTGATTTCATAACGGTTCGAAGCAGTGATGCCACCCACCTTGTCGACGTTGATGGCCACGTCCGTCAGCCCAGTCGCCATCTTCACGATGCTCGTCATGGCGTCTGACATGAACCCTCCCGCGTCCTTGATCAGTGAGCTAAGCGGAACGTTGTTATCTGCGAGAGTTAGCAGGGTGAGGAACGTATAGAACAGCCCGTCAATATTACGTAACGAGGTGCAGACGGGGAAATATCTGAGATGCGCGAGCACTCTACCGCTCCAACGAGACGGCCAGACTCGGAAGAGGAGGGTAAATTGTTCATGTACTCTCCACTAGCCTGCCAGGTAGCGACCGGACTGCATCTGGATCGAGCAAACGAGTTCGCGACCGTTCTGCATTCGACACGAGAGGATGTAATTAGACGAGACGTACAAGTAAGTCCGGAGCAGGCGTCGTAGACCCGGTTCGCCATGGTTTCGCAGACAGTAACCGTTATAGCTCCATTGTTTGACGTCACATAGTTGCTGGAACCTGGGAGAGGTGGTGTCAGGCGAAAAATCAGGAGACGTTATGAACTTAACGCCATGCTTTGAGAGAATGGTACAGGTAATCCGAGTTCCATAATACGTGTTCGCGAATGTGTCGTACCTGGATTGCAGGTTATGGCACAGATCATGCTCTCCACGAGTAATGAACATGTCTCCTTCCCCTGAAACATGCTGCAGAACTGCAAGACAGAACCACCAGATGAAGTAGGCATTAGCCGTTGCTAAAAGACACGACTTCATGGCCATGACAATAAGCTCCGTGTCGCTCCGTGAATTACCTGAATTTCGGTGCCTTCAGGCACGAATTTTGCGTAATCTGGATTCATGTCGCTGACAAGCTTAGTCACGTCTGCTGTCAGGAGGTTCAGCGCGTAGCTGAAGTCGCTGCAGTCCTCGCAGCATGACGACTTAGCTGCATCGAGGCAGCGAGCGGAGGGAATTTGCGGAACACTAGGCGGTTTTCCTGTCAAAGGACATGTTAATGGCGTGGGAACGGAGATTGCTGATGGGAGAAACACTGACAAGAGCAGTAGCACTGTGCATGTCGTCTTCATGGCGACTTAGCCTAGCAGGTTTGGCTTTATTTACGGCGACTGGAGGAATATGAAAGGCGAAGGGCTAGTGAACTACAGAAGGCCAAAATGGTCACGAACTCCAGGCTCTAAGAAGCTAGGGGCAATGGGAATCTATCTGTGTATGCTTTCTCAAAGTCTGTTTGGCGGAGCTTTCAGCGAGTCTCAGGATTTGCTCGAAGTGAGGTGACTGCAGTTATTGAAGTAGGACTTGGGGGACGAGATTTGTTCGCTTAAAGCCGGCAGCCCAAATTGCACAACTTTTAAAAGCTTGACGCGAGGGTATTTCTGGTCTGGGGTTTGGCGAACGTTATCGATTTCGGTTATTTCGCCCTGGGAATTGGTTCAGTCCCCGAAAGTCCCAAATTGCAGGCGCGCTTTTTTTAAAACCTTGCAAACACTAGTTCGTCAAGTTTTAAAAGCTTGACCCGCACGGCCCGCAATTTGGGCCGCGGGCTTTAACTTTTTGCCCTGCCTGCACCACACTACAAGCACACCCGCAGTGAATTCACGAAACACGGACGGTGTCGTGCACTGTTGGGAGATGGCGACGGCGGCAAAGGCAAATTTCACTTGTTCGGTGGCTGGAGGCTTCTGATTGGTGTTGTTTTGGCGGGAACGAATTGTTTGAATTCGCGGCTTGAAAAAGCAGCCGTTTTCAGGACGAACTCTTGAGGAATACGCATGAGTACGATTTCTGGTAACGATAATATTCAGAACCCAGCTGTAGTACAGACAAAACCGTGAAGTTTACGCTAAAGAGTTTAATGAGTATCTAAGTTTTGCAGTGAAGTACTGTTTCAGTACTTTGGGTTCAGACTGGCCTCGTTTATTATCTCAAGCGCATAATGAACATCATAAAATATATCCCCATATTTTTTTTCCCCGTAAATAAGAGCCCATTTTTACCATTTCCGCATATAAATACTTATGTTTGTACCGCATGTGGAAAATACCTACAAGTGCAGATCTCGAATTTGTTATTGTACCGCGTGATGAAAATACCTACAGTACAAGCGCGGACCCCAAATTTTGTTGGGAATTGGAACAAAGCCCACTCGAAGCTATCCCCGATTCAGAGAGGCTCGAAGAAGCGTTTGAGAGGCTCAGCAAGGGAGGGGAGGAACTAAAGCGAACGCCTGTACGGCGGCTCGGGTGTTGTTAAGGCTCTTATAATACGGACGTGAGAGCAAATATTAAGCTCGGTCGAGCGATTAGGCGAGTGACGGGCGGAAGGCGGGGGAGAGGGAGAGGGGGAGGGAGGGGAGGAGGGAGAATGGGGAGGAGGAGAGCGAGCGAGAGTGGGAGCGAGGTCGAGGAGGTGATTAGGGTGCCGAATGGCGGCGATAATGAGCAGATTAGCGACGAAAGCGAGGACATTCGCGAAAGAGAAAACGAAAACGACAGGAGCGGCGGGGACGACGACGTCAGGGAAATTCCCCTCCGAGCGGTTAAAAAGCGGCGGGTGCAGCCGACGCGAGTGACTTCAGAAACAGCTCGTGTCAAGTCCGGCCGTTTACAGCGACCTTTAGCGACAAGTGAGGGGATTCGGGGGATTGGCAGCACGCGCGCCGGGGAGAAGAGGAGGGAGAGAAGAGAGAGAATGGAGAGAAGGGAGGCTGGCAGGTCCATCCGTTTAGGGCGCGCTGTAGAGACAGGTGAGGGACTCGCAAGCACGCGAGTTGGGGGAAAGAGGCAGGAGAAGCAGGAGATTAGGGTTGATTCGATGAGAGTGGTTGAGACGAGGAGAGACAAGGGGAACGCGGTGGTAGGAGGAGGGAGTAGAGGCGGGGTAAGTGGGGGCTCGGATTTGGGGAAGAAGAAATTGCACTGGAAGCAGAGGAAAGCGATGGAAGAAAAGAAGCAAGCGGATGAGGGGAAGGGAAAGCAAGCGGGAGAAACTGCTGAGGTGGATTTGGGGAAGAAGAAATTGCACTGGAAACAGGGGAAAGCGATGGAAGAAAAGAAGCAAGCGGATGAGGGGAGGAGAAAGCAAGCGGGAGAATCTGGGGAGGCGGATGAGGGGAAGAAGAAATTGCACTGGAAGCAAAGGAAAGCGATGGAAGAAAAGGAGCAAGCGGATGAGGGGAGGAGAAGGAAATTGGGGAAGAAGAAATTGCACTGGAAGCACAAGAAAGCGGCTGAGGAAAAAAAGCGAGCAGATGAGGGGAAGATAAAGGGGGTTAGGTGGGGTAATGGAGTGGAGGGAACTGGAGAGGAGAAGCGGATGTTAGGGCGTGCCAGAGGGGATGAGAGGGGGGATGGAAGGGGGGATGAGAGGCGGGGGGAAAGGAGAAGGATATTAGAACGGGGGACACAAGAGAGAGAGGCGGGAGAGGAGGAGGGTGCAGGTGATGCGGAGGGGAATCTGAAGAAGCCGATTAGCAAGCAGGTGGCGAGTGGTTTGGCAGAAAGGCGATTTGTGAGTCCACTCCGGGGTCAGCTCGAAAGGGAAGTGGGAGAGGAGGAGGAGGATTCTGCAGGTGAAGTGGAGGGGACGCTGAGTGGGGTAAGCAGAGGAAAGGAAACGGGGAGTGAATTGGCTGAAATGCGGAGGATCAAGGGACAGCTCCTGGTGGAGGAGATTAAGAGGGAGATACAGAAGTTGGTGGAAACAGGGAATCTAGAGCAGGTGAGCGACTGGGAGTAGGGACCTGGAATGAGGAAGAGAGATCTTGGGACTTTCAGCTCCCGGTAATGTTGACCAGATTGGTAGTGAGATCTTGATGCGCTTGGAGTGAGAAATGAGGGATCTGGAATGAGGGAGAGAGATTTTGGGACTTTTAGGGAGATTCAAGGAGGTTTTTCTTGTTGTTAGAGGCATATGGTAGTTTTCTCCTTTTCCTCATATTGTTCCCCTGTTGCTCGTCCCGTTTTTCTCCCCTTTCCCCATTTCCCTTTCTTCCCCCCAACTTGCTGCAGTAGATGACTGTCGCGTCCATGCAACAGCAGCTAGGAGTGCCTCTCTTCCCAAACAACACTTTTGAGGTGCCCCGAACGTATTCTTTCCTCCCTCTCCCCTCCCTCTCCCCTCCCTCTCCCCCACTTCTCCCCCCCCTTCCCCCCAACTTGCTGCTGCAGATGACTGTCGCATCCGTGCAACAGCAACTAGGTAAACCGCTCTTCCAAGTATTTGTGTGTGTGTGTGTGTGTGTATGTGAGTGTGTGTGTGTGTGTGTGTGTGTGTGTGTGTGTTTTTTTTTTACGATTCAAGTCATTCTCTACACAAGATTGGTTGAGAAAAATAAAAGTACAAAAAAAATCCCAGACACATTGAAAAATCTGGTTAATGGCTGCTGTCACCAACTCGTTCCACCTGGCTCAACATACTTTCCACTACCTGATCCAGAGCTCGTCAGACTTTTGAGTCGACTAAAAAAGAGCTGGTTACTGGCTGTCACCAACTCATGCGCCTGGTTCCACTGTTCCACATTCCCCTCACTACCTTTTCCAAAGCTTGTCTGGCTTTGCTGTACCTTTCCCCCTCTTTCTCTCTCCCCTTCTGCCTTTCTCTTCCTCTCTCCATCTCTCTCCTCATCTCTCCCATTTCTCTCTCTGTTCCCCCCCCCTCGATTTCCCTCAAGCAGGGAAGGTTTTCGGGGAGAGCCATCTGGTGAGCAAGAGGCGAGTGAGGGCTTTGGTGAGTGTGATATTCCAAGAGGAGTGGCATATGCTGGAACGGCAGCAGCGTGAGGGGCACGTTGGGGTGAGAACGTGAGCAGCACGTCGGGGTGAGAACGCGAGGAGCACGTCGGGGTGAGAACGTGAGGGGCATGTTGGGAATGGCCGCGTGAAGTTGCTTTTGTGTTTGATTCAGAAGTGAGCAACAGGCCAGTGAGGTCTCACTTCTGAATCAACATAGAGCAACTCTCAAGATGACTTTTGAGTGTTGTAGTTGCTTTGAGGGCTATGGTGACTGATATATTCGGAGAGGAGTGGCATGTGCTGGAATGGCAGCTGCGTGAGGGATATTGCATCACGTCATTCCCATGCAAGGGGTAATCCTTGTGTTGATTCAGAAGTGAGCAACAGGCCAGTGAGGGCTGATATATTCGGAGAGGAGTGGCATGTGCTGGAATGGCAGCGCGAGGGGATGTCTTGCATCAACACTTCTGTCAAGATGACTTTTGAGTGTTGATTCAGGAGTGAGCAGCAGGCCAGTGAGGGCGGTGGCGACAGAGATATGTGGAGAGCAGTGGCACATGCTGTAATGGCAGCGTGAGGGGCGTGTTGGGATGGGATGGGAGTGGTATGTAGCATTGGCAACGTGAAGCGCTGCCGCTGTGGGATGAGGTGGCGCTGCCGCTGTGGGATGAGGTGGCGCTGCCGCTGTGGGATGAGGTGGCACTGCCGCTGTGGGATGAGGTGGCGCTGCCGCTGTGGGATGAGGTGGCACTGCCGCTGTGGGATGAGGTGGCGCTGCCGCTGTGTGATGAGGTGGCGCTGCTGCTGTGGGATGAGGTGGCACTGCCGCTGTGGGATGAGGTGGCGCTGCTGCTGTGGGATGAGGTGGCGCTGCCGCTAGTCTGGAGAGAGCAGCAGGTGAGGGGGGGCACAGTTTGTACCGGTATGAGATGTGCCAGAGAGGAGTGGCAGAGCTTGGATAATAGCTTGAGTAGCTGGCTGTGCCCGGCCTCAAGAGCAGCAGGTGAGGGCGGGCACAGCTTGTACCGGTAGTACCGGTATGAGATGTGCCAAAGAGGAGTGGCAGAGCTTGGATAGCAGCATGGCTGAGTATGGTAGGTACTGTCGTCAACCATTTCTTTGCTTCAAGTTATTTGCGAGTTGCCAACCAGCGCTTAACATTCATATGGAGAAGCTTTGTTGTGTCTGTACATTGTTTAAAGCTAGTTAAAACCCATCTATCTTGCCCAAATGAGTCATTCTACACTGCAACAATGCAAACAAGTGCCTGCGGATTTCCTATGTGGTACGGTAGTTCGGTTGGGTTAGAAAGCGACAACATTGCATTAGGTTAGGTGCTTCTAGTGTAAGATACCGTACCGGTAAAAAAAACACATCACGCCTGTCCTGTACAAACACCACAAAGCACACGCAGCTGTGCGCCATGAAGACACCCGACTACCACCGATAATGGATACCGGGACAACTGCCGGGAGTGTAGCCACTCCACACCATCTATCAGCCCTGCAACCTCCTTTTGACTGACTTGAAGGCATGGCACGGCCTCAGTACCGTAAGTAGACAGCCGAATCACTTGCCTGCAGCTCACTGTGGTCCGCGCACCACAATGGGCCTCATGGCTTCATTATCCATCAGCTCTGCAATCTCACTGTGCCACACGTACCCAGGGCCCCTCGTAGCGTCAAACCCAAACCCTCCCTTTACTCCTCCTACTCCTACTCCTACTCCTCCTTCCCCACCTCCTCCTGCCATGCTGTCTGCACTCCCCCACGCGACCCAGAGTGAGAGCACCTGTCTTGGCCAGACCACGCTTGTATCTTGCCATCCCAGCCTTTCCCCTCCCGGTATTCCCTTGGGTTTCTTTATGAAACACGACCTGGGGGTTCGTTCTGCTGGTGGTTTGCTGATAGGCGGCTTTGTACTTGTTGTCTCCTCCTTTGTGTTTTCCTCTCTTTCTTGTCTTCTGTTGCTACTACTGCTGCCGCCACTGCTGCCACTGCTGCTGTTCCCACTGCTACCGCGGCTGCTATTTCTGTGGTTACCAGATTTACTGTAGCTCTCCCATCCCATCGCCTGATCGAACACACAGAAGCCGTCCAAGAAGGCCTCCGCGTCGAATCGACGGCGGGAGATGGGGCGATGCAATGCTAGAGGGATGTGGATGGGATGAGCGATGGGGGACAGGTTTACTATATGCCACACCTCGTATGTCCCCTGTTGTTGCGTTGGACAGCAGAAGATAGAGAGGAAACGCAAGGTGGGGGGGAGAGAGGTGAAACAACGGAAGAGGTGAGCTTGACTGTGGTGGCGCGACTTTTGCTGAGCCTCAGTATTGCTTCTTTTCCGTCTCATGACAGTTGGGGATGGGGCGGTGCATTGCCAGGGGGATGTGGATGGGGTGCGCGATGGGGGACAGGTTTACTATATGCCACACCTCGTATGTCCCCTGTTGTGTTATGACGGTGCCCCGCATACCACGCATGAGAGGTGTGCCCCGCATACCACGCATGAGAGGTGTGCCCCGCATACCACGCATGAGAGGTGTGCCCCGCATACCTCGCAAAACCACCCCTGCACAACGTACCACTCTGGGCGCTTCAGTGGTGGCGTCCTTAAAGCCCGCGTTGTCGATCAGCACACGCAGACGGCCGCCTACAAGCTACAAAGATGCTTCTTTTCCTTCCCCAAGCACACGTACCACTCTGGGCGCTTCAGTGGCGGCGTCCTTAAAGCCCGCGTTGTCAATCAGCACTCGCAGAGGGGCGTCGGCTTGGGCGTCTTTAACTGTCACAAGCATCTTCCACCTGTGCTGCGCTGCTTGGCCTAGGTTGATGGGGGGAAGAGGGTTCTGGGGAAGCAGGGAATGGGAGAGGTGGGGAGGATAGGGATGTGGGGAGTGAGATAGGAAAGGGGTGTCAGCTTGAGCGCCTTTAACCGCCACGAGAATCCCACCTTGTATATAATCCGCGTGATAGTAATCTGGTTTTGAGACGTCTCCCCGAGCGTCTTCAACCGCCGCGAGAATCTTCCACCTTTGTGTGCTGCGCTGCCTGGTTTAGGTTGATGGGGGAAAGAGGGCTCTGAGCAATGGGTAGAGGGAGGGAATTGGCAAGCAAGGAGGGAAAGGGGCGTCGGCTTGAGCGGTTAACCGCCGCCAGCATCTTCGTGTGATGAGTCGATTTTTGAGTTGACTCAAAAATCGACTTCAAAATCTCTTGCATCTTTCACCATTGTGTGTTGCTTTTTGAGGTGCCTCGAAAATCTCTTGCATCTTTCACCATTGTGTGTTGCTTTTTGAGGCGCCTCAAAAATCGCTTGCATCTTTCACCATTGTGTGTTGCTTTTTGAGGCGCCTCAAAAATCGCTTGCATCTTTCACCATTGTGTGTTGCTTTTTGAGGCGCCTCAAAAATCGCTTGCATCTTTCACCATTATGTGCTGCCTGGTTTACGTTGATTGGAGACAGGGGGTTCTGGGGAAGCAGCGAGGGGGAAAGGAGGAGGCGTAAGGGAGGAGAGGAAAGGGAAGAAGGAGGGGAAGGGAGGTGCTGAGAGGCTTCGGATTGAGCGTCTTCAACCGAGACGAGCATCTTCCACGGTGCTGTGTTGCTTGGCCTAGAATGAACGAGGGGGAAGGGATGGGGGAGGGAGTGGTGAGGAGGGGGGAGGGAGGGATGCAACAAGCAGAGGGAAGTTTGTGAAAGGGGTCTCAGATGCAGAGGGTGTTCTGGGGCAACTCACCGCTATTTTCTCGGGTATTTTCGGGCTGGCGATTTTTTTCGTCTGGGTGATAGCAATCCGCATCACCACCCCCGTGTGACTGTCCGGAGGCGTGCCGTTAGGGAAGGGCGAGGGAGCAGAATTCGTTACAATCACGTCCCGGCAGAAGGAGGGCAGGGAGGAGAAATCGACGAGAATGTCTTTTCGCTCGCCGGGGGCCAGTAAGAGAGTGCGGATGTAGGATGGACGGACCAGGTACCCTGCGTCACTGCTGATCTGAAAGGGGGTGTTGGGAAAAGTGAGGGCGTGTGGGACGAACGAAGAGGGTTTGTGTGAGAGGGCGAGGGAGGGCAGAGAGGACAAGAAAGAGGTTGAAAGAAGAGAGCCATGTGAGCCATGCACGCCCTCCGATCCAAGCAAGCCGGGCTATACGTATTTACCTGGGTGAATTTCACTTTGCTCCCTTTCAAAGGAGGGTAGAATTTGGGGTAGTCGCGGCGATCAGCGCAGACAGAGAGGTTGAATAATGGCGATAGATGTGTGTTTCAAGCCATATTATAGATGTGTGTTTCAAGCGATATTATAGATGTGTGTTTCAAGCCATATTATAGATGTGTGTTTCAAGCCATATTATAGATGTCTGTTTCAAGCCATATTATAGATGTGTGTTTCAAGCCATATTATAGATGTGTGTTTCAAGCCATACTATACCTGGGCGAACTTGACCCGGCTCCCCTTGAGAGGAGGGTAGAAGTTGGGGTAGTCGCGGCGATCAGCGCACACTAAAGAGAGGTTGAAAAAGCGAGCGTTGGCAGCAGAGAGCAGGCGGAACCTGTGCAGTGCCGGGCGGACCTTGAGGTACGGCCAGACCTGGGAGGGAGAAGGAGGAGAGGGAGGGAGTGGGAGTGGTAAGTGGGGAGGAGACAAGAGAGATTGAAGAAGCGAATAGTAGCAGCAGAGAGCAGGCGGAACCTGTGCTGCGCTGGACGCACCTTGTGATATGGCCAAACCTGGGAGGGAGAGGGAGAGGGAGAACGAGAAGAGAGAAGGGGGGGGGGGAGGGGTGTAATGAGGGAATAAACAGAGCGCAGACGGCCAAGAGGTTGAAGAAGCGAGCATTGGTGGCGGAGAGCAGGCGGAACCTGTGCAGTGCCGGGCGGAGCTTGAGGTACGGCCAGACCTGGGAGAGAGAGGGAGAGGGAGAGGGAGAGGGAGAGGGACGGAGAGGGAAGACGGCGCTTACTTTGACTGCAGGGGCCGCTCGTGTATTCTTCCTACCGCACCAGTTCGGCGTGGCAGTCCCTGGCGGGGCGGAGGCGATTATCCACATCACACGCACGTACCTCACGGTGAACACAGGAGCTTTGGTCCTACAGGCTGATCTGGCGAACGCATTTAACAGCGTTAACCGCGACGCCATCATCACATCTCTTCGGGACTCCTCTCTCGCTTCACTTTTACCGTTAGTTAAACTGCTGTACGGCCTTCCTTCGGCTCTATGTCTGGACGCTGGCTTCTCACACCCACCTCTGCTGAGCGAGACCGGGGTGCGGCAGGGAGATCCCCTCGGCCCGTTGCTGTTCGCTGCCGCCATACACCCAGCGCTGACGAAAACGGCGCTCAGCTTCCCCTCCGTGGTCTGTCTAGCCTATGCGGACGACGTAACTTTTCTTGGGGATGCAGCCATGTGCGCGGCGGCATTTGAGGACTTCACAGGAAACCTCGGGGAGATCGGGCTGCGCCACAACCCAGCCAAGTGCGCGGCCTGGTCTCAGGCTGGCCAGCAGGGAGCAGCGCTTCCAGTGGGCGTACCTTTCACAGAAGATGGGGTGAAGGTGCTTGGCAGCTTCATCGGTGGCAGCGACGCAACCGCCGCGTTCCTACGTGCCAGCCTCGACACCATGGGAGTGCCGCTGCCCTTAATCGCGCGGATGGAGCCGCAGCTGGCTTCCCTCCTGCTCTCACGGTGCATCTCACGGCGGATCGCTTACGTCGCCCGCACCACGCCGCTTTCGGCCCTGCCAGTCGAGGAGTGGTCAGACTGGGGTAAAAAGCTGTTTGAGACGTTGCTGACTGCCTGCGGCATTCGCCACCCACGGGGGGAGGCCGAGATTTCACGTACCTGGGCGCAAGCGTCACTCCCCATCTCGCTCGGTGGTTTGGGACTCACAGACCCTTCGGTGGAGGGTCGTGTTGGGTTCCTTGCAAGCTACACGCAAGCGCAGCACCTGCTCACCTCCATTGATGAGTCGGCCGTCGGCGCCTTGGCGGAAACGCGGATCCAGATGGTGGGGCCCTTCATCAACACGTCCCCGCTCTTTGACTGGTTGGAGAGGTGTGAGGAGTCACTGCCGGACGATGGGAAGGAGCTGCTGCAGAGCGATCGGGCTAATCCCAAGGGCGCCAAGCTGCAGCATGGGCTGGCAATCGCGGTACACGGACTGCGCTACGCGGAGCAGGTGCAGGCTACACGCATCATGCCACTCAACCCACTAAGCGGGCACACTCAGCGCATGCTTTCACTCTCAGGGTATGGGGCAGGAGACTGGCTCAACGCGGTCCCCTTCAACTCGACACTGCGGCTTGCCCCGGCTCACTTTGCGCATGCGCTGCAGTTCAGGATGGGGTTACCCTCCTCGGCACCTGGCGCGTGTGACTGCCGCAATAAGACGGCAATCCTTGACAGGCGCCTGCCCAACCACCTGCTGCGCTGCGACTCGGGGAAGGGGCGGACCAACACGCACAATGAGTTGCGCGATGCGTGTGTACACATGGCCGCCGACGCTGACTTCATGACTCACAGCGAAACGACTACGTTCTGCCCCGTCACTCTGAAGAAAGCCGACATTGCGATCCGGGACAAGTCCTCAGGAGCGGTGTGGATAGGGGACGTGACCATCACGGACCCCATCAGCACACGGGATCCCAACGCGGTCAAGGGCAGGGGATGGGCGGCCAGGGAGGCGGCGGAGAAGAAGATCTCCGACTACGAGGGCTCAACGGCCTCGTGGGTCGGGTTCTTCCCCCTTGCCGTTGATACCTATGGCTGTCCTTGCGCGGAGGTCCCTCAATTCCTCAAACTTCTGGCCGACACCGGCGCGCGCCGGCTCTTCAACGCGGCCCCCTCATCGTACCAGGCAACAAAGCTGCTGCACCAGTTCCGCCAGCGGTGGTCCGTGGCGCTGCAGCGGGCGCAGTCAGTGAGCTTCATGACGAAGTGCAACTACGCGGCTCAGGTGGAGAACCCACCTGTGGCGCTGCCGGGCGAAGGAATGTCCCTCGGGGACTGCCTTGCCATCCTGGAGCCGGCATTGGAGCTGCCTTAGAGGGTGAAGGAGGGTAGGTAGGATGTGGGGGTTTTAGAAGCTGAGATGCATTGCTTCTTATATCCTTGTGCATGTCTGTACCTTGCTCGGATCTAATACACGGACCGCTTGAGGGAGAGGGAGAGGGAGAGGGAGAGGGAGAGGGAATGCAGGGAATTGAGGGGAACGAGCGATATAAACAGGTACATTAGCCATAAACAGGTACATTAGCCATAAACAGGTACATTAGCCATAAGCTCGCCAGATCGTAAATGAGGATTGTGTTCCGCTAGAACCCATTCCACCCAGCCAAGATGCACTTCAGGCACCACTTATCTCCTTGAGTAGGGAAGCAACCCATTCCTATATAATACTCGTTACAAACACACTCGTTAGTTGGCTAACTCTCACCAGCCCATTCACGAGCAAAGGCGTTGCTGTCGAACCCATCCACCCAGCTACAAACGCACTCGTTATATACCTCCTACACTCAATTCATTACACCTGCATCAGCCATAATCTCACCAGCCCATTAACCACGATGGTGTTGCCGTAAAACCCATCCACCCAGTTGGGATGCACATCAGGCACCACCCCTCTCCGCGGGTAATGCAGCGATCCGTTTGCTCCGAACGTTCGATCAGCCAACACCAGAGGGAGGCTGTAATCCCCCTTCGGAATCCAGCTTCCCACCCCCGGCCCCGACCCCTTCCCAGCCCCGCCCCCTTTCCCTTCCTCCCCTCCCCCTCCTCCTCCTCCCCCTCCCCCTTCCCCGCTTCCCGCTTTCCCCCTCCTCCACTTCCTCTCGGCCCCATCAGGATCCGTTACAACGTACAGGCCTGCCATCCCCGCTATAAGGTTCAGCCTCCCCATGCCCTGGGTGCGGTCCCGATACCAGAGGAGAGCTGCTGAGTGCTGGTTCAGATACTTATACGTTTGCGAGTAGTAAGCATTCTCCTGAGGGGCTTCAGGACCGGAGGAATCGAGAGACGGGGGGAGAGAGGAGGAGATTGGGGAGGAGGAGGAAGAGGAAGAGGAGGAGAGAGGAGAGGAGCGGGAGGCTCGGGAGGAGCGGGTGGAGGAGCGGGAGGACAGGGCGGGGCCGAGTTCGCCGTACTGAGTGAACCAGGCTTGGGGGTGGCCAGAATAAGAGCTGTGTGCGTGGCCTCCTTGCCTGAAGGGCACTGTTAAGGGGAGATGGAAGGGGGTGACACGAGGAGAGACGCAGAACAAGTGGGGTGTGAGATCAATTGGAGGAGCGGGTGGAGGAGCGGGAGGACAAGGCAGGGCCGAGTTCGCCGTACTGAGTGAACCACGCTTGGGGGTGGACGGAATAAGAGCTGTGTGCGTGGCCTCCTTGCCTGAAAGGCACTGCAGGGAGGGGAGGGGAGCGGGGGGGGTAATAGGCGAGACTTATAAAGGTAGAGACTTGGGGAAGGGAGGACAAGGCAGGGCCGGGCTCGCCATACTGTGTGAACCACGCCTGGGGGTGGCCGGAGTAGGAGCTGTGTGCGTGGCCTCCTTGCCTGAGGGGCACTGCATGGTGGGGAGATGGAAGGGGAGGGAAGATAGAAGACAGAAGTACTGTGCAAGTGGGGAGAGGGCAAGAAGAGGAGCGTGAGAGCAGTGGGGCCCAGCTCGCCATACTGAGTGAACCACGCCTGGGGGTGGCCGGAGTAGGAGCTATGTGCGTGGCCTCCTTGCCTGAAGGGCACTGCAGGGAGGGAGAAAAGGGAGAGCGAGAGAGAGCGGAGGCGCTTTGAATAAAAGGGATTCACGACTCAGAGAATGAAGAAATGAAACAGCACTCTGGCGCTAACGAGCTCGAACATTCAAACGAAGCAAGCACCACTCACCGAAGGGAATGCCGCCGCGGGACGGTCTAGGGATGTCCTTATTAATGGTATAGTCGACTTGCAACATGTGCTTCTCGTCCGTTAGATGGTTCTCCCAGCGAATCTGCCACATGAATTCCATTCCAACACCACGCAGAGTTGAATAGGTATGTGGTCCTTTCTGTTTCCTTTGAACTTGCAAAACAGAGCTGTGGACTTGCGATGGTTCACTAACCGAATCTGCCACACCTATTCCAACAGAAGGTATTTGCTGGTAAGCGGCATGCTTGGTGCAGAATGTACCCGTTTTGAGACCTCTCAAGACAAGGTATAAGTGCCATAGAATGTACATTTTCTTCTTTCGTACATTCCTAGTTTTCAGAAGCCTCAGAGCCATTACTGTTACCTGTTTACCCCTCGTCCCATGTCGCACCTTAGTCATAACGCCCTTCCGCGCCACTATAGTGGGACCCGGATAGGACGCACGCGCGCGGGTCGTCCCAAACGCGTACAACTTCGTGGGCGGCAGATCTCGATGGAACTTCTGTCGGATCTGATACACTCCGATTCGGAGAATCTTCCCGCTCGTGCCATCCACAAGCTCCATCCTGCCGCCCGTGCTGCCGCCCGTGGCGCCCGTACCGGCCTTCCCAGCCGTCCCAGCCTTGCCGGCCGTGCCGGCCGCGCGAAGGCTGTCGACGAACTTGCAGAGCGGACGGGAGGGGAAGCGGTTGATGCATCGCGGTCCCGCTGTAGGGGTGCCTCCGGTTACCCGGTTACCAGTCTTCGACGACCCGGATTTTGACGAGCCAGATTTCGACGGTCTGGATTCAGACGACCCGGATTTCGACGGTCTGGATTTATAGGAGCCGGCGGATTTGGGCGGGTTGGAAAGGAGGTCTGGCGTGCCATAGTAGATGTGCCCGGGCTTGGAAGTGTCCCTGTTTCTGGGTATCGGTGGGACAGTAGCGGCGGCTGTCAGAGGGGCAATGGGAGGGGTGGGTGTGGGTGAGGAGGAAATTGGGGGGGAGGGGTAGAAGGGATGAGGCAGGGAAGCAGGGAGGGGAAGCTTGCTGCGCGTGCTCGGAAGCGCCCCTGTTTTTGGGTATCAGTGGGACAGTAGCGGCTACAGTGGGGGGGGGGATGTGAGGGAAGGGGGAGAGGGGGAAGAGGCGGGGCGGAGAAGCAAGGGGCGGGGAAGAAGGCTGGAAATTACCAGGGGCTTGTGCGTGTAAGCGCCCCTGTTTCTCGGAATCAGTGGGACAGTGGCGTTTGTATTTAGGACAGGAATCGAGGGAACGCTGGGGAGAGAAGTAGCCACCGTGAGACGACTATTACGCGGTTGATTTGAGACGAGTTTTGAGGTGGCAAAAAAAAACAAAAACAGAAGCCACCATGCGACTGCTGCAACGCGGATTCGCTACTGCAAGGATGCTTTAAATCGACCGAAACAGCACCTGTAGGGGGATACAGTACGGGCTACCAACGCGTAGGGGGATACAGTACGGGTTACCAACGCGCGTTACTTCCTACTGCCTACCTGATTCGACGTCGCCTTGCCCGCGTGCCGCGCTGATAAGGAGCATGCATGTGCATAGCGCGACTCGAACGGGAAGTCTATCTGCCGTCATTGGTGCGTCTAGGCGGAAACGTATTCAGTCAGTAAGACACTGTGTTTTGAGTTGACTCAAACACTGCTCAGTCAGTAAGAAACGAGGAAACACTACAATGGCGTTTTTCTATTATGGTATGTACAATGTAAGGTTTCTATTCTTGGGTCGCGACCGCGATGACAGTGGTTCTACTAAGTCGGCCTGCCGATAGAATCCTGGCTACTTGGGAGGCGTCCACTCGCTGTCAGCTCGTGCGCTGAAATCATCCAAGTATACGAGCGTATGTTGCCCTTCCGTCCCGGTGACGTCTAGTGAAAAGCGCGGCGATACACAGCACAGCCACGGCATAAGCGCGTGCAAGTGATGACGTGGCGTGTGGTAAAAGGGGACCCCCGGCTCGCTTGATACTTTTCGGCGAAAGATCGAGGACCCAAGTAGGGCTGTTGTCACCATTTTAGTCATAACTCACGAGTTGATCATATCACAGAAGGGTGAGAATTGCTAGTGGATGTGCCATGCGTGAGTGAGGGGAGAGATTCTGACGGGCTTGGGGGGAATTTGAAATGTGATAGATTTGGCAGAAATTCAAATGGATTTCCCGCCAGACACATTTGAACCGAATGCGGTCCGCTGAAGCGATACGTGCGTGACTCTTTTGATAACAGCAAAATTTGCACAGAAACACTTACGAGAAGTATCAGTAGTTGATATGGCACAACGTTATTGTACAGCTGGACATAATGTGCTCTTTTGACACATAATTACACCGAGCCCAAACTTCCACCTAAGTCCAGTTCATATTCAGCTAGATCTACATCCCATATTGAACTCCGCATGTGTAGCATTAAATGCAACCACAACTCCAAACATTTGTTCTCACGGCTGTGTGGTGGAGCACTCCCGAAGCTGCTTTTATTGCGAGGCTTATTGCTGCGCTTTTAGCACGGCATCACGGAGGACAGCAATGGCAGCGGCCGGGTCGGAAGCGCCAAACACAGAGCTTCCAGCAACAATGCAGTTGGCTCCAGCGTCTGCTGCTTGAGCAATCGTCGACGGTCCCAACCCACCATCCACCTGCACAAAGGAACAGATACATCGCAGGCATACCGTACATCTTTCACTCACATTGTTAAGTAAGAAAGTCTTGACCACAGGAAATGCAACTTCCGGATCCAACGCAGGCATATGCATTTGGGTGTAAGCACAGTCAGACATTCCTCTTCCCACCTGAATATCCAAGTGCGGGAATCGTGACCGCAGGAACTGCACTTTGGGCATCATCTCAGGCATAAACGCCTGGTTGTCGACACAGGCACACATTCCTCTTTTCACCTAAATATCCAAAGAGCAAGTGCCAATCCTTGTCTCACCTGAATATCCAGCTCTGAAAATCTTGACCGTAGAAACTGCACCTTGGGCATCACCTCAGGCATAAACACTCAGTTATAAGAAGCAAACATTCCCCTTCTCACCTGAATATCCAGCTCTGGAAATCTTGACCGTAGAAACTGCACCTTGGGCATCATGTCAGGCATAAACGCCTGCCCTCCAAACCCCGGCTCTACCGTCATCACCAGCACCACATCCACCGCCTCCTGCCCCTCCAACTGCAATCAGGTGTGAGCATGAGGGGTAGGAACGATAATGGTAATCATGAGTGAGCCGCCTGCCCTCCGAACCCCGGCTACACCGTCATCACCAGCACCACATCCACCGCCTCCTGCCCCTCCAACTGCAATCAGGTGTGAGCATGAGGGGTAGGAACGATAATGGTAATCATGAGTGAGCCGCCTGCCCTCCGAACCCCGGCTACACCGTCATCACCAGCACCACATCCACCGCCTCCTGCCCCTCCAACTGCAGTTGGAGGGGTCATGAGAGGTGGGGTTGACAGAACAACTAGGGATGATTATGGTAGTTATGATGAACAGACCTACCCTCCGAAACCCGGCTCCACAATCATCACCAGCACCACATCAACTGCCTCCTGCCCCTCCACTGTCATGGGGGGTGGTCATGGGGGGGGAGGACGACAGAACGGCTAGGGTTGATTCGGTTAGGGATGATTATGGTGATGGTGGTGGTAATAGACAGGCCTGCCCTCCTAACCCCGGTCCCACCACATCCACCGCCTCCTGCCCCTCCAACTGTCATGGGGGGTGAACACGTGGGTGATGATGGGAGAATGGTTCGGGAGAGGGGAGTGGGGGATAAGAGGGACGCATGCCCTCCGAACCCCGGCTCCACCGTCATCACCAGAACCACATCCACTGCCCTCATCCTCCATTCTCCCTCCCTAACCATTCTGCCATCTCACCATCAACCTGTGAGATCACTCCGTATCTGTCCCTCCAACTGTGATGCGGAGTGATCACACAGGGTGATGGTAATATGACAGAATGGTTAGGGAGGGAGAATGGGGGATAAGAGACATGCCTGCCTTTCGACTCCCGGCTCCACTGTAGTCATCGCTATCACAATATTCGCTGCCTCGCTACCTATACTCTCCAACAACGTACGAGCAACCGCAAAAGAAAAGGTACGATGGGCGGTATTCGGGGCGTGTGCAGCAATAAGCAAGCAACGCACGAGGGGCAGGACGGATTCAACAGGCGTGGAAGGCTTGATGGCCACGCCCGCCCTCATGCCCGCTGCGTGCACCTCAGCCACCAGCTGCTGTGCCCTGCCTGGGGGATATATGTGCGGGGAGGTGAGGAGGGAAGAAAGGAAGGGAGAGAGGGGGACGGGAGAGGGGGTATCCTTGAGGCGGCTCGAACGAAGACAAACCAAACGCAAAGGAGGGGGGAGGTGGAAAAGAAGATGGGTCTTCGCTTTTTTAAAGCGACTTCCTGCTCGTAGGCACAAGCCTGAGTTTAGGGTTGATGTACAACCTGACACCTGGGATGCTGACCTGGCACAGCCTCCACATGGAAGGTGAAGGAGGAAGCTCCGGCCTGCTTCATAGACTCCACGTAGGCGAAGGGGTCTGTGACCATGAGGTGGCAGTCCAGGTAGGCACTGCAACCCCACAAAAAAAAAACAAAGGGAGAAAGATGAGAGAGGGGAAGGGTGTAGAGGCCACAGGCTGTCTAGCTGGCGGTTGAACACTCCACGTAGACGAAGGGGTCCGTGAACATGAGGTGGCAATCCAGGTATGCAACTGCGCAATCATCATGCGGGAGAAAAGGTATAGAAAGGACGGGGAAGAGGAGGGAGGGAATGGGTGTAAAGGCGTATGGTATGGGTCCGTGACTAGGAGGTGGCAGTTGAGGTACTCACTGCACTCTCACAAACCAAGGAAACCAAGAGAGGGGCGGAGGGGAAGGGGAGGAGAGAGGGGTAGGGTAGGGTATGGAAGCCGCAGCTTGTTTACACAGTTGCAGGAAGGCCCCAGCATGAGGGTTAGCATGCAGACGAAGGTGACTTTTGAGTCGACTCAAAAGTCACCAAGGGAGGGGTGGAAGGATATGGAAGCCGCAGCTTGTCTACACAGGTGCAGGAAGGCCCCAGCATGACGGTTAGCATGCAGAGGGACAGGGGATTGCGTGACGGGGGTATTCCCAGAATGTGAGGACAGGGTGTGTGTGTTGCATGAGGGGTCGGGCACACTGAGTGAGCCGAGCCCAACGGGATGGGTGTGAAAGCGGCTTACTCCGTGTGCTTTCGAAGCGCAGCAATCACCGGAGGGCCGATGGTGAGGTTCGGCACAAAGTTGCTGGGAAGGTGGGAAGTACGGAGGGGGAGAGGGTGGGGAGGAGAGAAGGTGGAAGAAGGGAGAGGGTAGACATGAAGGGTATTTAGGGGTAAGAAGGCGGAGGTGGGAGAGAGGATCGAGAGGGAGAGTCGGGGAGAGTCAGGGAGAGGATAGAAGTTGAGGGAGGGAAGAGATTGGAAGAGTCGAAAGGGGAAGAGGTCTAGGGGGTGAGAGGGCGAAGAGGCAGAGGAGGAAACAAGGTCGACGAGGCAGACAAAGGCGAAATCGAAGGAAGTTGAGGGAAGTATGAGAATGACTAAAGGGACAGGGGAGAAAGCGCGAGGTCACAAGTTGATGAGAGGGATCAGAGGCGAGGCGAGGAGAGGCGGGGAGGGAAAGGGAGGGAGGGTAATATATGGAGGGAGGAAAGCATGATCACTAGAAAGGAATGGCATTTTGACAGTGATCTGAAGCTCAAAGGAGATGTGCTTGCAGCGACGCGTGCTGCTAAGTTCAGTGTGCTTGTGGTGAGAAAGCAGTGTGTACTTGAGTTGAACCCTACCCATCCTGCAAGAAATGCACATGAACGGCATGGGAGAAACATGCATGCACACACAAGCACACACAGACTTGACCGCGTTGACCGCGTCATGCGGAACAGATAGCAAGGCAGGGAGAAGGGGGTGGAAGGCAGGAAATAGTCAGAGAGGAGCGACGAATATTGAACGTGAGGGACCGCAAACAACCGAGTGATGATAGGAACCGAGTTAGAAGCAAAAATACTGATGATCCATATAGCAACGGTTAGCTTTCTGGCTCAAATCTAAGGCAGGTATGGAATTACCATGATATCCATGTGTAACCAATCAGCGCCGCACGAAAGCATCCGTTGCGCCTCGCTCGCGAGATTCGCGAAGTCTGACGAAAGCATGGACGGCGCGATCTTTGGCGAAGGCGCCATCTCGGGCGTCCGTCTCTAAGAAGATTCAAAGTTCGCGAGGCGCGTGGGTAACACACCTTTCCTACTCTAACATGCACACTGTGCGACGCCTCGGAGACGAAGCACGCAGATGAGTCACTTGTGCAAGATAACGGTTGCGGTAAGGAGCAGCCTTCGACTTCTGCTGGACTAATAACTAATCTTCATGACAGCATCACTTGGCACTTCAGCGAGACGCTCGCTGTTGCTGGTGGCTTTCGACGGCAATATCGAGAACGGTTGTCAGCCCAACTTCTGCTGTGATATTTCTGTAATTTCCAAGAAAAGGTTGTACCGTATTTTATCAGAATACACTTCAGAAATTGTAAATACCAATAATAAAAAAGAATACACTTAAGGCAAACCGTTGCACAAACGTAAGCCTTCAGAAGTAACGTAATAAATAAGTGGTCCCATATCCAACGGTTGGTTATGCTGACACCTCGCATGAGATGTTACAACAGCAAGAAACCCAAAGCAAAAAGACCGATCCAAGCAGCGACAACCACATTCAGCACAACTGAATAAGCACCGCTCTTAGGGGGGGGAATGGAAGCAGCAGCATCACACGGGCTTGTAGTGGCGAGGGCTGGCTCTTCAAAGCACGTTGTCTGAGGGAGGAAGAGAGGAAGAGGGGGGCGGGTCGGGGGAAGGAGTGGAGAAAGGGGAAGGAGGGTGAGGGGGAAGGGGGAAGGAGGAAAAAGGGGTAAAAGTGGGGCAGTGAAAGTTTTGCAATAAAATAGCAAGAGGGGGAGGCAAGATTGAATTGAAAGTGAATGCTGCTCATTCCACCCATTACAATGTTCTACTGTCACCCCACTCATGCTGTTGCTGATTGGGACGTTGAGGTTGGGCACGCCAGCCAGCCTGACAGTGCAGGGCAGCACTGTCACTCATTACTCCATCCGCGTTACTCTCATCCCACTCACAAACAATTGCATTAGGTTGATTTTCACGTCGCACTCGTTACTGTGTAACCACACGCATCCCACTCACGCTGTTGCTGACGCTGACGTTGAGGTTGGGCACACCAGCCAGCCAGCCTGACAGTGCAGGGCAGCACTGTCACTCATTACTCCGCCCCTGCTACTCTCACCCAACTCCCTCACATTGCCATTGTGCTACTTCTCATCTCATCCCAATCACGCTGTTGCTGACAGTGACGTTGAGATTCGGCACGCCAGCCAGCCTGACAGTGCAGGGAAGCACACTAAAATCATTACTCTATCCCTGCTATTCTCGTCCCACTCACACTCACTCCCGCTCATCCCACTCACGCTGTTGCTGACGGTGACGTTGAGGTTGGGCACGCCAGCCAGCTTGATCGTGTTCACAATAACTGTGTCAATGAATGCTTGCGCATCCGCTATCAGGTCGCTCAGCACATACGTGCCCACTGCAGGGAAGGGCAAGCAGGGAAGGGACGGCAAGAGAAGGGCCAGGTGAAGAACGGTGAAGAGCGGTGAAGGGCGGTGCTCAGGTTGTTCGAGGCAGTGTTTGACAGTGTTCACAATAATCGTGTCTATGAATGCTTGCGCATCCGCTATCAGGTCGCTCAGCACACACCAAACCACTGCAGGGAAAAGCTAGCAGGGAAGACAGGGAATGTCCGCGGTGATGAAAAGCGGTGAAGGCCGGTGCTTGAGGAAGGTCGTTCACGAGAGTGTCTAATAGTGACGGTAAGGTGGGGATGTTTTGAATAGGATACACGAGGCATGAGGTGGTCAGAGGGGGAGGGATCAAGATAGGGGGAGGAGGTACAAGGATGGTCAGGGTTGGAAAAAGGAGGCATGGTATAGAAAGAGGAGCAGCGGGGAGGAAGGGGTACCAAGGCGGTTAGAGGAGTTATGAGGTTGCTTGTTACTCACGTAATGCCCTGGCATACACTGAAGATGCGGTCAGCTAAATTTGGGCGTGTTTGAGTCATCCGGTCTCAGAATATGATGGCAAGAGGAGCTATGGAGTTGCTTGTCACTCACGTTTGATGCCCTTGCAGGCACTGAAGATGCGGTCAGCGAATTTCGGGCAGATTAACATGACTGACGTGCCGTCCTTGGTGCTGTTCACATAGCTGCCCGAATATGCCACGTCCGCAGCACCAAGGGAGGAAGAAAGTAAGGGAGGTGAGTGGGCCCGGCAAACTAGAATTACTGAGCTGGCCTCTTGCTGGAAAGTTTGTCTGGCGAAAGTAGCCCTGTATTTGGCTGCATTCGTGCGCAACCTTTTGGAATTTAGAATGTGGGAATAGTGTGATAATTGTTAAACAAGGTGTGATTTTTATGTGTCGCTCGTTCCGAACACTCTGCCGGGAATTTTTACATAGCATGTACTCTCCCGTGAAAGGAAAACAACTGACTTCACCAAAATCTCATTTGTAACAAGAAGGTGTAGACGCGAACGTTCGCACTAACTGGGGTTGCAGTTGGCGGCACACACGATCGCCTCGACGAGAAAGGGACACTCCGGTTGGCCAACGAACAGGTCGCACACCTGTTACAATCACGCACCGGGAACAGGGGTAGGGAGAACAGAAGTTCGGGCAGGGGGTACAGAGCAAGGGGAAACGAAGGAGAAAATTGTCACGGGGCGCATGGGGAAAAGCAAGCCCTAAACCCGGGGGCCTGACAAAAAGCAACTTGGAAAAAAGGGGCCCTTGGAAATTAAAGTGAAGGCACGATATGCTGGTGAACGGAGCTAGGTGACCTGCGCGGTAATGAGAGAGGAAGCACGATGGTCGCTCGATAAGGGTACGTGGGAGAACGCGTGTTGTAACGACGGCGCAGCGCGCAGAACCTGGGACACCTCGGCGAAGCACGCAAACGAGGTCAACGCGAAGGTCAACGAGGGTCGTACCTTAACGCTCGGCTCGACGAGGCCTCCGAGTGAGGGGCTGATATTCGTGAGCACGGCGGAAAGGTTTGCGCCGGTCATCATTTGCGCGGCCGACAAGTCCGCGCGGTCCGCGCAGCACGACGCGGTCGCCGCCACGGGGCAACGAGATGTCGGAGTCTTCCGCGCAGTCGGAGGAAGCTTCGTTACTGGACACACATTCGCAGTCGCGCCGCTAGGGGATGCCGGTGCCGTGGGTGGAGTCGCGGCGGCGGAACAAGTTACCAGTGCAACAAGGAGATGAGAGGACAGCACGGCCGCCGCGAACAGCGCGTGCCGCGGGAATAGCGGCGCCATGATACTCGGGAAACGGTAGTGCGAGTAAGCAACGATCTGACGACACGGCGGCGACCACGGGAGGGGGTGCGTTCTTCCGGCGACGGCGTTTAGTGTGCAAGTCATACGGTTCCCCGACAATGGCTGGGCCAGAATTGCTCTCGCTTCGCACCGACGTTCCGTAATGCAACACGACAGTGGCGATCAAGCGAAACGCGTTAACTCGTAAAACCTATCATCAAAACCGCTGAAGAGTTGCAAAAGGAAGCACACAGAAACACAGCGGAACACCTCAGCGGAAATTATACCTGCCAAAAGAAAAAGCCTTCTGCAGTAATAAGAAGACTGCTTGCACCACCCTAGTTTACCTGGTCGCGTCGTCTCGTCAATCGACCATAGCAGCAACAATTGGGCTGGAACTAGGCGCAAGTGCGCCCACGACAGATACGGTGGCGATGCGGATTGAATTGAATTGAGTAGGGTTACTGTACAGACGGTTCGAGGACTCGGTCTGCAGACTTCGAATAGAAGCGCGCCGAACCGACGTGGTGGTCTGCGGGGAATGGAAACGGCGGAAGATCAGGTAGATCGATAATGCGCGATTCTCTCGAGCCTCTTCCATTCCAATCAAGATGCAGGACGAATTCGAAAGGCACTTCTTCGATATTAGCATATCTGTACTGAAGAAATATCTAAAACCAGTCTACTGTAAAAAACAAGCACAAGCCAAGCTATTCACTGCTCCCTAAATAGTTGTTATGCGTATATATATCGCAGTTTCATAACAAAATAAGAACCAGAATACTAAAAAAACAAGACACGCTAATGGTGGCTGCATTATTTACCAACGAAATGGTGGACTTCTCTGGCACTTGTGCTATTGCGAGCATCTGGGATGGGGGTGGTTGTCCAACAGGCTCTCCAGATGACGGCGGAGCTGGTGATTGGCCGGCTGGCGAGGAAGGGACAGGTGGAGCCGATGCCCCAGACACAGAAGTGGGAGGAGGGGGAGGAGGTGAAGGAAGAGGAGGAAGGGGTGGAGGGGTCTTGCACACAGAATGATCAATATCGCGGCCAATCAGATCGCTGTATTGTGTCGCATTTACAGCGCCAGCAGGGCAGTTCTGGGGAATGGCGAATGGGTCGCAGCATGCGGTTACCGGAGAAAACACCTGAGAACCACTGAAGCATGCTTTCTGCAGGAGGGGAATATGGCGGCATGTGGATGGTGTAGGAAAGGCGTAAACTTCGAGACATTTAATAGAAACAAGAAAGAAGATGCCTGGTGGATTGAATAAAGAGTACATGAGGAAACGAAACAATAGTGTTATTGGATGTACACAAACGGAAATAGGAGATAAGTTCTTATCGAGATTGAGTGGTCACTGAGGGATGCGAGTGTGCTCATACAAAACTTTTTAGATGTCAATGCAGCACTGTACCTTCTCTACAACGATGTTGAAGTTACTGTAGCCGATGGCCTTCATTACACTGGCAGCGATGGCATTAAGGAAAGACTCGGAGCTGGTGATGAGAGTGCTGAGGGGGACAGCTCCGACTGCCAAGGAGGGTGTTAAGGGGTTGGGTGGGGGGAAAATGGTAAGTGGTGATAGCGGGTACATGGTGAGCGTTGACAAGAATGCAGTGAGGAACGACTCGGAGCTGGTGATGAGAGTGCTGAGGGGGACAGCTCCGACTGCCAGGGAGAGGGGGAGAGAGGGGAGGGGGGAATGGGGAGAGCACGGAGGAGGGGGTGGTTATGAGGAGAGTGGTGCTAGTTGATGGTTGAGAAGGAATTTGAACAGTGGTATAATTTGAACATGGCCTGCATGGTGATGGGAAGAATTCCATCTCAACACTAAGCAGGCCATGTTTGTCGCACTGTGCAGGGTGATCTGTGTACCAGACAAAGCCTGCAGTTAACTGCACTGCACTCAACTGCACTCCACTCAACCGCACTGCACTCAACTGGAAATGCCCTGGCAGACGCCAAAGAAGAACTCAGCGTAGGAAGCGCAGACGGACATTGTTGTGGCGTCCGCTGTTACCTGGGTGTAGTTACCCGCATCTGCACAGTAGGGAAGCATACATTCCATACAGTCACATGAAATGGTCAGTGCGATACTGTCACATAAAATAGGAGATGGCACATGGCTGAATTTTGCATCATGTAGCAGAGAGTATTGGTCGTTGTTCAGAATTGTAAGAAAAGTAGATGGTACAGCCAGCAGGCGCAGCAGGCTGGCAGCTCACCCTTTTCGTACATGTCATCCATATACCATCTCAAGTGGGTTGCATGTCATCCATGTACCATTTCACCTGAGTTACATGTCATTTACGTGCCATCTCACCTGAGTTACATGTCATTTACGTGCCATCTCACCTGGGTTACATGTGATGGCGCACAGCAGATCCTCTATGGCTTGCTCGCACATCTGACCTCCTGTGAACATGTCACACATCTAGAGGGTAGAAGCAGAGATGTAATAACACAGGAAATATGAGATTATAGGATACGATATGATATAATAAGAAATGTAGTTGATTTGAAGAGACACACATACCTTAAAGCCCGAATCCACGAATCCAACCAGGCTCGGATCAATCAGCACCACAACATCCTCTAGGTTCGTCCCCACGAGCCTCATCGCCGAACCTAAGTCGCTGCAGTCGGCACAGCACGTCTTATTTGCAGCAGCAGGGCAACGAGTTGGGACCCTCTTAGGGATTGTCGGGGGTTCTTTAGTGAACGGACATGCAGGGTAGACGACAGGTCCGGGAGGGGGCGGCGCAGGCTCGGGCGAGAGGCCCGGGGAAGGCTCGGAGGACGGGGCAGGTTCGGGAGGTTGGGAGGTTGGGGGGAGAGTGCCGAGCATGCACGCGTCTGGGTCGGTGACTCGGGTGAGAGAGGGGAGAGAGAAGGAGGAGGAGGAGGTGGTGGAGCGAGAGGAGAGGGAGGAGGAGTAAGAGGAGTTGATAGAGTTGGGAGGGCATGTGGGGGGGATGGTGAGCGGGTCGCAGCAGGCAGTGTAGCGAGGGTAAAGACCTGTGCCGTTGAAACAAGATCCCTGAAAGGAGTGAAGAGAAAGGGGGAGAATTTGGGGTGAGGGAGAGGGTGGAAAAACGAGCAGGCGGTGTAGCGGGGGTAAAGACCTGTGCCGTTGAAACAAGATTCCTGAAAGGAGTAAAGAGAGGGGAGAAAAAGGAAGTGAGTGGGAGAGCGTGGAAAAATGAGCAGCAGGCAGTGTAGCGGGGGTAAAGACCTGTGCCGTTGAAACAAGATTCCTGAAAGGAGTAAAGAGAGGGGAGAAAAATGAAGTGAGAGGGAGAGCGTGGAAAAATGAGCAGCAGGCAGTGTAGCGGGGGTAAAGACCTGTGCCGTTGAAACAAGATCCCTGAAAGGAGTGAAGAGAAAGGGGGAGAAAATGGGGTGAGGGAGAGGGTGGAAAAACGAGCAGGCGGTGTAGCGGGGGTCAAGACCTGTGCCGTTGAAACAGGATTCCTGAAGGGTTGTGGAGGGGGAGGAAGGGGGCGCAGAACGAGCAGTAGGTGAGCCAGCTTTGTATGGAGTGAGGGTCACAGCACAGCAGGCAGTCTAGCGGGGGTGGAGACCCGTGCCATTGACACAAGAACCCTGCAAGAGACAAGGGGGGTTACAGTATGGGCTGACCATTCAGAACAAGAAAGAACAGGGCTTTGTTAAAAGCAGGGAGTGGTGAGGAGGGGACCGGGGGGGATGAGAGATCGGGGGGGAGGGGGAGGGGGGGGGGGGTGGGGAGGAGAGATATCAGGGGGGGAAAGAGATCGGGGGGGAGAGAGAGCAGGCAAGGTGCTGAGAGTGTTGTCCACAGTGATAGTTAAGTCAGCCGCGACCATTTGTGCTGCCATGCTCGCTGCCACTATGCCCATGAGTGATGCCATGCTCGCTGCCACTATGCCCATGAAGGAGGAGGGGAAGGGTCCTGGGCCAGTCGTCTCTTGGGAGCCCTCATACCTACAACCACTGAGACTTCCGAGACCTCTAGTGAGTAACAAAGTGTGAAGAGCAATACACTCACAGTGTTATCTACAGTGATGGTGACGTCAGCCGCGCCCATGAGTGATGTCACGCTCGCTGCCACTATGCTCATGAAAGAGGATGGGTCTGGCGCCACCCTACTCAGGGATACCTCTCCCACTGGCAGGTTGGGGGGTGGAAGGGGAGAGAGATGAAACTGGAAAGGGGAACGAAGGGGTGCATGCATGAAACACGCTCGCTGCCACTATGCTCATGAAGGACGACGGGTCCTGCGAGGTGACTTTTGAGTCGACTCAAAAGTCCTGCGCTACTCGACTCATGGATACCTCCCCGACTGGCAGGAGGAGAGGGAGGAAAGGCAAGGGGAAGGAACGGGGAGGGAGGACGGGTTTATTGCATGGAGGAGGAGGGGTGTGGCGCCACTCGACTCAGAGATGCCGCCTGTGCCACTGGAAAGAAGCGAGGGGGGCGGGCAGGGGGGTTGATATGCATGGAGGAGGAGGGGTGTGGTGCCACTCGACTCAGGAATACCGCCTGTGCAACGGACCACACAGGAGGCAAGTCAAGGGAGTCACTCAGAGTCAACGCAAGTCTAGAGAGTCACTCAGAGTCAACGCAAGTCTAGAGAGTCACTCAAAGTCAACGCAAGTCTAGAGAGTCACTCACGGTCAATGCCTTGGCAGTCTTCCATCACCGCCTGAGCAAGCGCCTCACACACGCTGATCACCGTGCCTGCTGCCGTGGCACTCACATACGCGCCCGCATCTGCTCATGGGGGGATGCACGGCAACACAGTGGGGTGGTGGAAGGGCGGGGATATTTGAGTCGACTCATAGTCGCGTCACACACGCTGATCACCGTGCCTGCTGCAGAGGCGCTCACATCCGCTCCCGCATCTGGCAATGTGCGCACAGGGAGGCAGTGGGGTGGTAGCAGGGAGGGGAGGACATTTGAGTCAACTCAGGGTCGCGTCATACACGCTGATTACCGTGCCTGCAGCAGTGGCGCTCACATACGCACTCGCATCTGCGCGTGATCGCACATGGTTGTGTGGAAGAGAAAGGGATGGAAAAAACAAATGCTTTTTTAGTCGACTGACAAATGACATGCGTGCAGCAGAGGTGCTCAAATACGCACTGGAATCTGGTTATGTGCGCACAGCAAGGCAAAGACATGGAAGAAACAGGGGACGAGCAAGTTGTTTGAGTTGACACTCTGCTCCCCACCAGGGTTTCACAGCATCGGGTTACCACCTGGGTTGCACAGCATCGGGTTACCACCTGGGTTGCACAGCATCGGGTTAGCACCTCGTGCAAATCTTCCTTCATCCCCAAGTGCTGTCTAAAACCCTCTTATTCCATGATAGGCTAACCAGCACTATTTTACTTCTCACACAAAAGCTCTCTCTCACACAGACTGACACACGGTACCGAGTAAATCCCAGCTCATGGATCGGACGTTTGAGTCGACTCAAAAGACAACTTGATACCAAGTCATACCACCTCGTGGGGAGGCTAGGAATCACCTGGGTTGCACGTGAGCGCGCACGTAAGATCCTCCAGCAGCTGCAGGAAACCCTCGCCGTCACCGAATCGCACACCTTACCACGTGCATACCACCACTCTGAACCGACCTGGGTTGCACGTGAGCGCGCAGGTAAGGTCCTCCAGCAGCTGCAGGCACGTCGTTTGGCCGATGAACGCGTCGCACGCCTGCGGACGAAGAGTGATGGGGGTTGAGAGCGATAAGAGGGGGTGAGAGGGGTTGATGGGTTGAGAGGAAAGATAGTGGGAATGAGGGGAGTTTCCAGTTTCCAGCGGCTGTAGGCACTTGGTCTGGCCGATGAACGCGTCGCACGCCTGGGGGTCGGAGAGTGAGGGGAGTTGAGAGGGGTGAGAATGGGTGAAAGGAGGTGAGGAGTTGAGAGGAGGTGTGAATGACGGCGGATGCATGCAGCTGCAGGCACTTGGTCTGGCCGATGAACGCGTCGCACGCTTGGCGGTGCGGTGAGAGGGAGTAAGGGGGGCGGTGAAGGGGGATGCGAGGTAATGATTGCGATTCTAGAAGTCACGAACGACGCCAGGTTGACCAAACTTGAAATGCTATGCGTCATGATGACCGAATGTACCAATGCGGATTATGCGACAGTGTCTTGTTTTGGTGATTTGTTCTTTCTTGCAGCGAACCTTGACCTTGGGTAGCACGAAGCTCAGCGCCTCGGGACTGACGAGGACACCAGGTCGGCCCAACCTGGATAGCTAACCCGCTACAGTAAATTACCGTGAAATTGCAGATTATAGAAATTATGTTTAGATTTTTAACGAACCTTGGCGCTGGGCTGCACGAAACTCAGAGCCTCGGGACTGACGAGCGACACCAGGTCGCCCAAACTCGCACTGGCAAGGCCGAGCGCGGCGTTGAGATCCGCGCAAGCTCCGCAGCACGATTGCGCGGATGCCGCGGGGCATCGGGTTGACGCAATGGCGGTTGCGGACGGCGCAAGCCCCGTGTGCGGACACGCTTGGGAGAGCGCTGGCGGAAGCAGGGATGCGGAGGGCTTGGCTTGGGCGGAAACTTGAGCGGGGAGGATAGGCGCGGGCTGCGCGGAGGAGGTAGAGAGGTGAATTACGACGACGAGGGAAATAAGTAGCGCAGCTCGGGAAGTAACAGCGGCGCGGACGCCGGTTTTAACTGGGGAGATTACTGCGTCGCCGGAGACTAGTAGCGCGACGCACGATAAAAGTTTTCGAGGACGCATTTTTTGCGACTAAAGTTACAGTCTAAGTAATTCAACTAAATAAAATTAAATTAGGTAGACTATTTGATCAGGTGCGAGCTCAATAGCTACTAAAGTAAGGACAAGGTTCCGCTCCTCGTTTTGATTTAATCTCTTCGATGCGAAAAGTGGTGATCGAGGGGCCCTTCTCATCGCCGTCCGTAGTCACTTGAATAGATAAGGGCTGGGTGCTGGAGAAGATGTGCTGGGCTAAGAACACAGACAGCTCGCCTTTTTGTGAAAGAATGAAGAAGCACGGGGAGGAACTCCCTGCACTGGAGGAGGGTTTGTCAGTGTGACTTGTTGGGCATCCTCCACAAGCGACAGCGAAACCCCAAGGGCGCGGAACATGCGACTCAGAAAGTGCGGACTTTCACAAAGGTTGTGCACGGAAATTATACGTGATATTGTGTATCAGTATGATTTAGTACGGTGCAAAGCGTTTCACCGTCCCAATGCATTGCGGTTCGCACCAAAACGCCCACGCACTAGGGTCTTTTATGCGCGACTTACGACGAGGTCTAATCTGTCAGCAAAACCCAGCTGTTCGTAAGTGCCTGACTTTCTAGTTCACACTGAGTTTTGAGTATATGGGAACCAGTGAGGCTTTCAAAGCTATTGACAGGAAGTGAATGAACCCGCTGGCGGCGGACAGAATTCGGTTGTGCGGAAACCGAAAGTCATGCCGAGCCGCATTTGCAGAGTGCACAGATGCTGGCTGACGCGGCTTGTTCCACTTCCCGCAATTCCGAATTTCTGCAAATTCCTTGACTGGGCTGCCAGGCGGGAAATGACTCGTTATAAAAACAATGGCACTAAATAGTGCCAAAGAGTTACAGTACAATTACTAGACGGGAAGTTATGCATTAAAGAACAAGAAGTGACATCTATCGGCTATTGAATTCTAGACACCCCTTTTAGCGTTTAATTACATCATAAAAATATTTAGAGAACGATATCACAGAGACACATCTGTGTTATTTTTCATCCTTGCTGTGCTTCATAACATATCTCTAATCATATAACCCTGACACTGATTTTTTTTTGTATTATTGAAAGTATACACCACAAACATAAGTGCATACCAACAATAGCGGTCGTAACCGTGCATGAGTGAGCAGAGGCTGTCTGGTCCAGCCGTGCTTCTAAGGTGGATTATAAACAGTCTTGGGATTGGTCCAGATGGACTCGAAACCTCTGGTACACGTCCACTTCTTGTCGCTTGCCAGCCGTATCCTGCCCAGCATTCTCTGCTCCTCCAATAGCCCTTCCAGAAAGCTGTCAGCCTGCGCCGATCCCTTCCGCCTCTGCCACGCTGTCGAGCGTGCCTTTATGTAAACCCTTGCATGCTGACAGAAAGCCATTATGATTCGCCTCAGAACTCGGCGCGCCCGAAACTTACGCCCCCGAAAAAAACGCCTCACATCGCTCCAGCCAAATCTGATGCAGCTTTATTGCTGTAAGTGTTGCTTCGGGGAAAGCCGTGCGGGTCCCTGCCTTGCGGAAGAGCAGATCCTCCGGCGAGCTCGTGATGCGGAGTGGGTTTAGCATGCGGAGAGCCCGTTTCAGCGCGACAACCACACTTTGGATCTTCGGGCAGGCGAAGAGACAATGCTCCAGTGTCTCCACTGTCAGAATGTATTTGCTTTCTAGCCTGCAGTGGGGTACTCTGTAGTGAGTACAACCCAATATAGGGTTTGCTATTTGTATCCCAACTTTCTATAGTGAAACCCTCATTCTCCTTCTCGACTGTCCTCGCCCAAAACTCTCTCGACACTCTAACCTAGTTATGGCTCCTAAGCCTAAGTTGCTACTATTCTAACATCCACGCCTTTGCAGTGCGAGCATAGAGGTTTGTCGCTTAGGAAAGCCAACCTCTCTCCCACTTGGAGGTTGAAGTTATAAACCCGCGTGAGAACATCCCTCGGTCTGTTGGGAGTGACTAGCGACTCTCTGATGCCCAGAATCTCTTCCAATTGATTGACCCACTCCGTCTGCCTGCCCACCTCAGCATTCGGTGCGACTGCGCCCGTTTCCCCTTCCACTGCTCCCGCATCCGCTTTAGCGAGATCACTTCCCCGTCCTCCAGGATAGGGATGCACGGGAGTTTTGTCCCGCCCATCGTGCCCCAGACAGCCGAGTTCGTGCAGGGGGTCAGCAGCTCCTCCCTCCATTCTGTTGGTGCAGCTGTGAAAGCTCTCAACGCTAGCCTAGCAGCCCCCTTCCCTCCCAGCTCCTTCGTGAGCTCCTCCATAGTTTTCAGCCTGCGGGCACCGTCATGCTGCCGTACCACCAGGTCGCCTAATTTCCAGTCCCACAGTTCCTCTGCAGCCTTCTGACCACCCACCAGCGCAGTTGTTCCCACCATGATTGCGCGGTTGAAAACAATTCGCTCCTTCGCGATCTCCGCCCAGGTCACTTCCACCGTTCTGACGCTGATGGGCGATTTCATGAAAAGCTCGCACGCCTGCCTCCACCGCTGGCTCCTCCCCTCCCAATTCCACAGAAGCCAATCGTGAGCCGTTAAGGTGTCCAGGCCTAAGGGGAGGTCTGCTGCCCGCACCATCAGCCCCCGCTTGAGCTGGTTCACCTCCGTCATCATCAAGCCCACGCGTCTGGCGGCCAGGCATGCCAGCGTGACGTTTGGGTCATGTACTCCCAATCCACCATCCTGCCTCGGGGTGTAGAGCAGCTCCGTGCTCCATAGTAAAAACACCCTTTCCGTTGTCGCCTTGTTTCCAGAGACGAAATTGTGTATCAGCTTCTCCACTTCCCTCCAGACTGTTGCAGGTGGCGGGTACACTTGTGCTTGGAATATCATCATCGGGTGTATGCAGCAATGGCCACCGAGCCCCTTGCCTTCTCTGTGAGGAACTTCTGCCTCCACAACCCCAGTCTCTTTTTAATATCATCCAATGCCTTCTCCCATGTCGGCAGACCGCTCCCATCCGGCGTGACCCAACCCCCCAGCAGTCGCTCGGCGTCCTTTGGCTTCGCCCACTTGAACGCACCACCATCATCTCTCCCGAGATTGGCTCCCAGCGGTAAGATGACCATTTTCGCTTTGTTTGTCGCCAGCCCGGACTACCGTTCAAGTTCGTCCAGTATAACCTCAGCCTCCGCAATCTGCTCTTTTCCTTGTAGGGCCAGGGTCGTATCATCAGCATAACCCATGTATGTCAGACGATGCCCGGCGATATCAAGACCCAGCTGCTCCTTCTCCACCTTCTGCACCAGTGGCTCTACCGCGCAGAGGAATAGGTATGGAGCCAGAGGGCACCCCTGCCGCACCCCCGACACCACATCGATTCCGGCCCCCATCCAGCCATTGACCAGCATTCTCGTTGTCGTGCCTGAGTGCAGCCCCTTGATCCAAGCAACCAGCCGAGGTAAGAAGCCCATACGATCAAGCACATGGAAGATGAAGCCTCTCGTCACCGAGTCGAAGGCCTTTGGAATTCCACCAGTAACAAGTACCAATCCTCCCAACCGTTCTTTGCCGCATCAATGATATCGGCTACCAGCGCGACGCTATCTGCGAGCCTCCTGCCTGGGATGAAGCCGTATTTCTCCGGCGAGATCACCCGGTGAAGTACTTTCTTTATCCTATCTGCGATCACTTTTGCCAGTATTTTGTAGGTGAAGGTCAGTAAAGTGATCAGCATGTAGTTGCTTAACTGATCCTTCTCCCCTTTCTTATGCAGGAGAATGGTCACCGCCTCCTTGACCTCCCCGGGCAGTTCTGCTGAGGCCGTGAAATCCTTAACCAGGGCCATGAAGCTTCCGCCCAGCAGATCCCAGTTGGCCTCAAAGAACTCCTTCGGCAGACCATCGTTCCCCAGCGACTTGTTTTTGGGAAGTGAAGCGAAAGCAGCTTTCACCTCCTCCTCAGTCCAGTCAGCATCCAGCCCGACCTTGTCCCCCTCTTGTAGTGTTCTGTCCGTCACCGGTAACCACTCCCAAAAATCCAGCCTTCTGTCTCTACCGAAGATGCCCCGGAAAAAATCTGACGCTGCAGCCAAGACACCCTCTGAGTCCGACACCGAAGTACCAGACACTTTAACCTCTGCAATCTGGGTTCGGCTCTTCCTTGCTTTGACAAGCGCCGACAATTGCTTCGACGAAATCTCTCCTATAAGCTCCCAATCTAACCCCGTCATGAGGTGGAGCCTGTCTTGCTGCCATGCGAGATACTCCTTTAACATTGCCTCCTTTCCATCCAGAAGCGCTCTCCGCCAAACGCAAGTCGGGTTCCCTAGTACCTCCTGCCTCAGAGCTGGAACAACCGACACCAGGTGCGTGAAAGTTGCCCGGACTCTCTTCTTCTCCTGCCTCGTGTATGCCCTGAGCCGAGCGGAGAGTCTCGAGATCAGTAACTCAAAACTCCAAACTCCGTCCATCTAGAACTTGTGTCTTATGCAACACCTCCTCAATGATCCGTCTAACTCCTGGCCGTTGCGACATTGATGCCTACAGCCGCCATAACCCCGGGCCCATCCTGGCCTTGTCATCCACTTTAAGCGCAACATGGATCGCAAAACCATGATCGGAGATCAGCTCCTTTGGCGAGATGTGCACAGCATCAAACAGGAACGGCAACAGTGACATCGAGACTAGCTCTCGGTCGATCCTGGAGCTGGCGCCAGCCGCTGCTGCATAAAAGATGTATTCCCTACTATTTGGGTACAGAGTGCGGAAGGCATCTGTGAGCTGGAAGGAGCTACAACGACTGTAGAGTCTGCCATTCTCGGCGGTTGAACCTTTACATGACGTTTCATCTAAGAACAGGTCTTCGATGATCTTAAGGTCACCTATAATGAGTAAGTGGGAGGTCTTTGGTAATTGATCTACTATCGGACCGAGGGTGTTACGTATGAAGGGTGTCCTGGCCGTGGGGCTTGACGGGAAGTAAACCGCGATCAGTGTAAGTTGGATTCCTGGACCGGTAACTAACACTTGAATGATTCTGCCTGAGGAGTGAG